CAATAATCAATRATAAACTCAGTTTCACCTCTCAGTACGGGGTAGGAAGTCTGCAAAAGGCTGGAGCTGCCAAGATTTTATTCATGTCTAATTACCTAAATTGTTGTATAGATGGAACTTCATACTGAATCTTAACCTTATGTTTCATACAAAACAAGGAATGAAGAAAATCCAGAAATAATGAGACTGCCCATTAGATAATTAATACATAAACTTTTTTCTATTTTCACCAAAATGTGAACTATACAAAAAACTATAGTCCCAACACACCTAATCTGGAGGGTTCAGAAACAGATGAGTGATAAAACCATCATCTGATGTCAGATCCTTTAAATACAGGAACCTCAGTAAGGATCTCAACTACAGTTCATACTCTTTTAAAGTTGATCTAGAAAGTGAAATGTACTTTATATTTTTTACTGGTCGTCTGTGCTGGAGTTGGCTGGGATAGARTTAATTTTCTTCATAGTAGCCAGTAACAGTGYTGGTAATAGAGATGTTTTTSTAATTGCTGAGCAGAGCTTACACAGAGTCAAGGCCTTTTCTGACCTAGCAGCAGGGAAGCTGGGGGGGTCACAAGGAGTTGGGAGGGGAGACAGCCRGGACAGCTGATCCCAAAAGAYCCAAGGGACATGCCACACCATAGCATGTCAYGCTCAGCAGTAAATTTAGGGGAGGAAATAGGGAGAGGGGGGAGCACTGTTCAAGGGCTGCTGGGCATTGGTCAGGCCTGATTCTCTCCCTTATCCCACCAGCAAGGGTGTGTGTGTGTGAGCAAGAGGCTCTGTGGTGCTTTAGTTGCCAGCTGGGGAGCATTCTGGGGTCTACAGCACCCACATCCTGTGGAAGCAATACTTTGATTTGACATAAATATGCTCTAATTTGTCTCAGTATCTCTTTGGCTACAGCACTGTACAGTCTCTTCCTATCTAAGTGTAAGGAATGCAAGTAGTTTACAAAGTCTGCAGGCTCTTACATGTTCATGCTAGTAGCCTCCAAGAGGTAGGATATTTCTCACATCACTAAGCTATGGCTTCCCTCTCCCTCAGCCCTTTCCGTTCTTCACAGGTGGAATGGAGGACAGAGCAGAAAAGTGGGATAGGTAATTAGGAGGCATCAAGTTTTCAGGAAACCTSTTTTACAGCCCTAAGTAACCTTTGTCCTCATTGCTATACTTACCTCAGAAAAAAAAAAAATTGGGAAATTTTCAGTTTTAAGAATTTTACTATGTAGAAATCATGCGGACACACAGAAGCCTGCACCCTTCCAGGATATGGACAGCTCCATAAGCTGTGGTTTGTCCTTCTGTTCAGGCAAGCCATGCATCAAGTGACATACAATTTTCCTGTTATGGTTGAAAACCATCTATAAAATACCCTTTAAAACTAAAGCGTTATTGTCTCAGCAACACTGAGTTCTACCAGAATGTATTTAATGCCCCTGTGCTTACTCACAAACTAAGCCAACTTTCTCTGCTAAGCAGAGAGATTTCTGAACTGAAATGCTTTTCCTGCAWGCCAAAGGTTGCAAAAGATGGAATTCAGCATTAATTAATTCACCMCTGAAATCAGAACCATGCATTGCAGACACACCCTGAGCTTGTTCTTCCACTGCAGCAACAATTTCAATGGTGAATCATTTTGTAATATCCACTGAAACCTACCTTGAATGCTGAGCACCAAGATAAAAACTACTTTAAMCAAACTATCCAGTAAGAGCACGTGAACCTAATATGTCCTTGTGGCTCCATCATGCTCTCTATCTCTCTCTACTTGGCATATTTCTAGTGAGTTTGACCCCAGACCACTAGATTTTGCTTGGTTGAAGAGATACATCTTTTCAGTGTGCAGTGTATTTTATATTGTTAAAAAAACAAGCTCTTAAGAAAGGGTTTGCACAGGGTCTTTGCTCAGTTGAGGCTTTTGCAACCCTGCTCTATGGTTAAGGGGAAGTTACATATGTTTTTCTCTTGCTTTTCCCCTCAATTTGAGCTCTTATTTTGTGAGATTTGTATCTTCATAAGCAGTAAAATCTGTTGTAGTGTTGGTATTGAGAGAAATTACACAAAGAATGACAGCCATGGATAACMCACATGGAATCCACCCCAGTAAAGAGAAGAAAAGCTACCAACCAACTCTGATTTTAGCAGAGTAATTCTTTAGTAACACAACACTGATACAATACTGTATCAGTAATAAGGTAGAAACTCTTCTGTACTGTCTAATGAATCATTAAACATTCACATTAATCTCTGACCATGCGCCAGTTAAAGGCTTAAAATCATTCTATCTTGTAATGTTCTATTTTCCTTGTTATACCCTCCTTCCTGGAAAATGCACCTGCAGCTTTAAAAAAAACACCAGCGAGATGAAGATTCCAGACTTTGCTATTAAATCACCAGATTTTGATGCTTTTCCTAAATAATTTAGCCACTTCCAAACATTCTGTCTTCAAGAAAAAGCAGTGTGTAAAGCTGCATTCTACCTTTCAAGATTTGGCAGTACTTTCTGGGGAGTCCACCCCAGATCTCAGAGTTCTGATTCACTGATGGTCGCATTACCATAGTAGAGTTATTTTAAGGTCTGATCCACAACTATGTAGTGATGACCAAAGCACTTAAGATTCAGCTGCTGAACAACTACAAAGCTCCACTCTGCAGTAAATCACTCCATTTCCATGGCTGCCTGGAAATACCATGGTGCAAAGTTGTGACTGGTGGCAGCTAACAATGCTCACCTGCTTGTGGAAGTTCTAATTTACTTCAGTCTCAAATACAAAAAAAAGCAATTCTCTAGAGAGTCCTCAAATACTACATAGCCTGAAGATATAGATAATTGATCCACACTGYAGAAAATGACAGCATAGTTTAATATTATTAGTCAGAAGTTGAAATGCTTGTTAGAGGAGGAGCATCTTGGATTTTTTTTTTGTTTTGTTTGGTAATTCTTTAAATGACTTTATTTTAGTCAATTATTATTATTTTAAGCACACTTCAGTCAGTAGCATTTTAGTGAAAGTGACACTGAGCTGYATATAAACAACACCAATCATAAGGAAAAAACTGCAAATTCAGTTAGGTTGGTTTGCAAGCTAGCAGAAGGCTGTGTATACATTAAGAATTTAAGATTTCAGGCTACAAGGACTACTAGAACTACAAGCTACCAGTTACCAGCTTTCACACTTGGGAACTGATCCATCTTTACTTGTTGAAACTGGGATGAGTGATTTTTTTACTATTCCCATTTGTCCACCCACCACTCTCACACAGACAGTTGAAGGGAAGGGGAACATTTCCAGGTGACAGCCTGATGTATTAACGTAAATCTGTTTACCTAACATGGTGGGCTGCAAGCGTGGCRGTAAACATGACAGCATGCTGTACTCACAGAGTCACAAAACCCACAGGTGAGGGGATGAACTGGAGGAGCAGCCCAACAAGCACTGCAATAACCATCACCCAACCTATTATCATGGATTAATTRGCACTCTTCGGAAAAACGCAGAAGGAATTAATGATGAAAGAATACAGACAACACAAGAACCAAGGCAAACCAGAAGTAAATGTAATTTGCCTTCACAGGGGACCTCACCTGTACATATGACAAAACACAYTAAAAAAACCCTGTTAGCCCTCAGAACATTCAACTGGCCAGGCAAGTTCCAGCTCTGTGTCATTTACATCAGATGCAAACACATCTGATAACTGAGTGTGCAGAGACATGTGTACTTTGAGGAGTATTTAATCTTCAGCCTCACAGTTACGGACTTTATCATTAAACAGACAGAGTCAATGTGCTCTTTTAAATCCATCTAAACAACCCTACAATAACTCCAAGGAAAGGTGCAGCTYACTAGACCACAACCACCCTAAGGGTAAAACAAGAGCCTTAAGGGAGAAAGAAGCCCTTGAATAATTAACAGAAATCCTCTCCATGAAAGTTTGGCATCTGCAACTAATCTATATYGTCCAGAGAAGGGCAAYGAAGCTGYTGAAGGGCCCAGAGCAYATGTCCTATAAAGAGTGGCTGGCTGAAGGAACTTGGGGTGTTTAGCCTGGGTTAAAGGAGGCTCAGGGGGACCCTTATCACTCTTTACAAATACCTGAGACTGTAGCTAGGTGGGGGTCGGCCTCTCCTCCCAGGCAATCAGTGACACGACAAGAACACAGAGTCTTAATGTGCSCCMGGGGAAGTTCAGGTTGGACATTWGAAGGAATTTCATTACAAAAAGGGTAATCAGACATTGGAATGGATTGCCAGGGAGTGGTAGAGTCACCGCCTCTAAGGTGAGGTTTTTAAGAAAAGGCTGGATATGGCACTGARTGCYATGRTCTAATTGGCACGGCRGTGCACGGCCATAGGTTAGASTCGATGATCTCTTTTCCAACCTAATTGATTCTGTGACATTTGACGATTCACTTCAACGCACAAGTCGCATAGGAAAGTGGAAATTTTCAGACTCCATCCTAAAAACAACACGTGTCACCCACGCTTTGCGCGCTTAAACGTTGTTTCAAAGCAACGCGATCACCAGCCGTAAGAGCAACCCCGTCTTTTAGGGCTTAAGGAACGACGTGCAGATTCCCCTCCCTGCCTCGGGGGAAAGTCCTGCCGGCTCCCGGGCTGTGCCAGCGGCGGACGGTGGGAGCATTTCGGTGTCACCAGCCGGGCACAGGGGCACGGCCCGGGGGCACAGAGCCTTTCCAGCCAGCCTGGGACCCGCCTGCCCACGGGGGGCTCGTGGGGCCGGTGCTGCTCCGAGGGGCCCTTCCCGGCCGGAGCCRGGAGCGCTCTGCGGGGAGGCCCCACGGCCGGCGCCTCATCCCCCCGGATTATCGCCCCCGYCCCTCGACCGGGCACTCACCGCCAAGGAATGTGCCGAGGACGAGGCATTTCTTCTTGTGCCGCTTAAGGAAACTCCAGAGCGACCGGAGCATCCTGCGCGCCCGGCCCGGCCCGGCCGCCCCTCGGATCGCGGCGGCGGAAGGGGCGGAGGCGGCGGCGGCACCGCCCGCAGTGCCCCGGAAACAGCGGCCGGGCCCGGCATGGCGGAGGGGGAGGAGGCGGCCGTGCTGGCCTGGATGGACCAGGCCCTCGACGTGGTCAGTGCGGGCCGGGGCTSCCCCTGTGCCGCGGGGAAGCCTCGGGGAGCGCCGGGGCCCTCAGGGCAGCGGTGAGGGGCGGGGACATGGGGGCGGCGGGAGCCTGTCCGCTCCTCTCGCTACTGTAACGCTGTCCTGTGCCTCTCACGAATGAATCAATCTGTCTGTCTGTCCCGCAGGCTAAAGAGGCGCTGGAGAAAGGGGAGGTTCCCGTGGGCTGCCTGCTGGTCTACAACGGCGAGGTCATAGGCAGGGGCAGGAACGAGGTCAACGAGACGAAGAATGTGAGTTGAGGTGCGCCCGGGGACTCCGCGGCTTTGCCACCACTGCTCTGCCCCGCGCTTCTCCTATTGCTGTATGTCAAACATTAAAATCACCTGGGAGTTAGGAGCGAGAAAAAAGTGACCTGTGCAACCTTTGCTGATGAAGTTCTGCCCACAGGTCACTTGGTTACTGAACAAAAATATATTGCCTATAAATTTTAGCCTGTTGCAACTTTCACCATCAAATTAGATATAGGATGTGATGCTGAGAGACCCCATTAATGCCAACAGGGGTTTTGTACAACTGGAAGTTTTGTGTAAATTAATCTGATTRCAGGATCTGGATGTCATTTATACTGGATGTCTCAAATCTGAAAACATAATAAAAAYTGAAACTGAATCTTTTAAGCTCAAAAATGTAACAGTAACGATGAATCATCATACTAATTTGTTCTGCAGGACAATCTGTAATTAAGATAAATAATAATCTGTATTAAATAATTATTAAATTATTTAATTAAATAATAAATAATTATTAAATTAAATAATCTGTATTAAGAGGATTGTAATACAGCTCTAAGAAAGCCAGATGACAAAAGTTAGGTATCTCATGTTACATTGTAAACACTGTGGGTAAGCAGACACTTCTTGGGACATTGATGCCAGAGAATATTGTGTAAAAATTACATGTTAATAAAGAGGGAGAACATAACTGACARCACTGATAACAAAATTAGAACTTAWAATATCAGGGAAGCTTTCAGGTATTTTTGGTGTCAGGGTTGTCTGAAGGTACATGCAAGYAGCCTGATTTTAAAAAACTTAGCTGGGTTTTGGAAACAGTAATTTGTTAATATCTTTGAAAGCCAAGCTTTTTTTGAATTGCTATTTAGCTCAAGTTTCAGTTCTTTTGTGACTTCATTTTCATAAATGTTTATATTCTAGTGATTGGAAATGCTGGGTACTTAGTGCTTYTAAATTTTTTATCAGATACTTAATTGCTCCATCTAAAAGAAAATGTAAGCTTGAAGTAAGTACTTGTTGTGAAATGTGAATGCAGGAAATTGTTTTCAGTTTTCTCCTAGTGATTTCTGGCATTATTTAGGGATCATCCTGGGAAAGAAAAACAAGCCTCTTGAACCACTGAGGCAGTTCCAGCAGACATCATAAATGTCAAGGTCTGTTTAAAAACTAATTTCTTGTCCCGCCTTCTATTGGAGGACTTCTCCTGAAAATCATTCCTCAGACAGCTAAAAAATGTCTGGTTTTCAGTTTCAGACTTTTTATGTTCTCTTTATATCTCCCTGTTCTTGTGCCAGCATCATCCATTTTTTACATAGCTTGAATGTATTTAAAGTCTTATTCCTTTTTGGCTTTTGTTTTTCCCAAGCCAACTGTTTAATTTACTCTTAGAAGACAGGCTTACTTTCTGTGTTCATTATAATATCTCTTTTATGTAGCCATTTCAGCTTTGATTAATCTTTCTTGAATTCACGTTACCAGAACTCTATACTTTATTCCAGGTGGACTTGTGCTTTGTTTGATAACAAAAATACTTTTCATTCTCCCTGGAAGAAAGTCCATCTGTCTTTTCTGGAGCTTCCTTGGTCTTTTATGCTGTTTTGTAATCCTACATTTGTTATTTTGAAAGGTTTTTTACTCCCATCTACACCTCTTGAGTGACATTCTGACCCTGTCACTTCTCATTATGTCTTTCATCATACAAAAGACATCATCAGGTGTTTTCTTGTAGGTGTTTTTTTCCAGTTAATGCCAGTGACACAACTGAAAACTTTTAAGCAAAATGATCTTTGCATGTCTTTGCTAATTAGTTCCCTCTGGACAAATATTTCCCCGTCAATGCARTGTCTCTTCTTTTCTTGCTCACCTTACATTTCTTATGCTAGGCTGTTTTMCCCACTCACAATAATTTCACAGGTTGTGCTGTACCACATCCATTGTAGATGTCCAGAAAGACTGGTGTTTCTCTTGCCTAGGGAACACATTCGTCAAAGAAAGTTACTAGGTWAATTTAGTGTCAGCAATCTTACTGTGTTTTTGTTTCATTTGCCTTTTGTAAGGACTAATCCTTAYAATACCACCTTCAAAGTTTGTTATCTTGCCTGTTTTTCTATTGATCTATAGGTGCCACGATTGTGTGACACCTGCCCTTGCTGTTCTTCATTACAGGGACTGTGTGCTCTGATAGATCTCAGTTATGCAATACTCTACCTTGATGCATTAAAAGGTTGCAATGAGACTGGCGCCCGCATGCATTTTTTCTTGAGTTCTTGAAAATTTTTTTATATCAACTCATGGGTTTGCTCCTCATCCCTCTTCCATGCCCTAGGCAATTTTTTAATTTTAAAGGCCTAACTCTCTATCTCACAGATGCTCTCATTTGTGCTTTCTTGCTCTTACTCAGCCTTTCAACAACATTTTCTGCATAATTTTTTATTGAAAATGCAAATCATTAGTTTTCTTTTGGAATAATACTATAATCATATTTGAGCCTCATCTCAAGGTCACTGTAGTAGCATTAACTCTATTTTCACATGTTTTCTGTCCAGCTATTTTTATTTTTTGTGACATTTGTTTTGCAAATTGACATTCTGTATTTCTTCCTTTAGTTTTTGCTTTCTGACCTCCAAAATGCAGCTTTATTACATASTGACTTTTTTAATTTCTTGAAAACTTTCTTCTTGCTTTGAAAAAGCAATCATTTATCCAGTTAGTCCTTCCTTGCAATTCTTGCCTTTGGTCAGGAATCAACTTGCCTCAGACCTTGTGTCAAATAAATTCTGTCTGCTYCTTAAGCAGGTCCCTGCATCCTCTGATATAACGGGCTGAAGTTAGGAGCTGCTGAAGTTAGGAGTGTCTTCTTTATTCACTCTTTTATTATGATCSTAAACTGCTTATTTGGGCAAAAAGATTTAGTTGCCAAAAACACTCCAGTGTTTTCAGGCTGTCTYCTGTCACCCTGCATACTTTGTTTTTGCCCACCATGTCCACAGCAGAACACATTAATGTCTGAGATACTGCTGCTTACTCCATGGAAGTTATTTGCAAAATTATTGATCATTGCATTCTTCTGAGAGATGTTGCTTTTGGGAGAAGGGAGTTTATATGCCACTGTGTTGGTGTTATTTTATTTTTTAGGAGCATGGCTGTGGCATCAGCATTTCAAAATGGTTAGACATGACATTACTTATCTTCATTGGGCAACAGTGCAACAAATGTGTGTGTAAGACATYGATTTTCAACAGCCTGGTGATTCATTCACATGCTTGTGCCAGTGCTGTGTTCCCTCTGGCAGCTCCCACACTTGCTTGTTCACAGTCTTGCTTCAAACCAGTCTGAAAATTGTCTCCCTTACAGCATATGTGACCCTTCACAGCTAGAAATGTTTTTTCTGCATCTTTGTTCCCACGTGTGATACAATCATTCACTTCCCAGTAAAATGYTCTCTGTCTTAGGTCATTTGTTGATACACACAAACATCTCCTCTTTGTGTCCTTTTGGGTCCTTGTAGCACATGTCTTGCAGGCACAGTATGTGATAATTGAAAATGAAGWATTGTTTGTGTAGTGAAACTGCAGTATAACACAGAACTTTGAACTTTGGCCCCCTTTACTTTCACTTGTTACTTATGGTCTAAAATTTAGAAAGTAAGCTTTTTAGGGCAGTGATGCTATCTATTTATAGTCTGTGAAACATTTGCTATGGTTTGGGGCACTGTCAAGTCTTTTACCCCACCGAGTCAGCTTCAACTGATTTTTCCTTGGTACACCATTTGGCACTCTAACAATTCTCATTTTCTCTTGCTGCTCTTAACCTGCTTTTGTTTTCTTGGCTTTAAAATAGTGTATAATACTTGGCAAATTAATTATGAATTTAGTCAGTGATTCAAAATCATAATAATCCCTCTTGTATGTTGTTTTACAYGCAGCAAGTCAAAAAAAGGCTATCTAGTCATAGCATAATATGAAACAAAATCTTCAGACCTAGAAGATCAGCTTTCCCCTCATATTTTGACTTTAAGAGGAACCTTTAACAGGTGTGTAAGGAGGGAGCTCAAGAAACAAGAAGGGAATGGTATAAATCTTCCTCTYGCATATCCTTTCCACTTCTGAAAGTGAATAGCTTAGGGACTTCCAGAGTCCAAGACTGTATCTGGGTTATTATTGCTGATAGCTGTCTGTGTACATATCCTCCATGAATTTGTCTAAACCTTTCTTGAACTCATTTATGTTTTTGGCTTCCATAGCATCCTGTGGCAATGAGTTTCACAATTTAATTAAGTGCTTTGTGAAAGAATACTTCCTTTTGTTTGTTTTATATCTGCTGCCTGATAATTTCATTGGGTGCTCACTTGTTATGAGAAATAATAAATCACARTTATAACTGTGTTTCTTTCATATTYTTCTTGATTCTTTTAAAAACTTCTACTGTAGTCATCTTAACTTGGAAAACTAATGACTGTGTCTGGTGAGTTAAGAGCCACAGTCTAATTAGTCTCTAAAAGGAGACTGTTCAGTAATCCTTGGATAATCCTTTCTCACCCTGGGGTGTATTTGTTCTGGTGTTGCCATGTCTCAATGACATGAGATGACCAGACTGGTGTGTGTTACTTAAGATCTGGGTACACTGGTGTGTGTGTGTGTATATATATATATATATATGTATGTGTATATATATATATATATATGTATGTGTGTGTGTATATATATATATATATATATATATTAGAGTAATCTCTTTTGTGTAGCTATCTTCTATTACTTCAGAAGCGGGTATCACCTGCAGCAGCTGCAGGGCCTTTCTAGAAGTTTTAAAACATTTTTGAACAGTATTAAACGTAACAGTAATTTATGAGTCCTTTGCCATGTATTGTAGAGCATCTCACTATTATCACCACAGATCTTCACAGTGCTAAAATATTAATTGAAGTTCATGTTTAGAGAGGAAGTTATCTAAGGTCACACAAAGGCATGTGAAGCAGAGATACAAGTATAATTTGGGTTGATTCAGTCTTAGTCTGATACCTGTGTCGAAGGCATCCTTTTTTTTTTTCCAGAATAGATAGAAAAGGAAAATACTGCCAGTCTTACTTCAAGCAAGTATTAGGCTCCTGCTGGAGAGTCCTTTTGTAACTAGTACTTTCTGATATTTTTGTTGTGACATTTCACTGCCATAGCAGTAGTGGGACATTACTGGTTGTTTTGGTCTCTCTGCAATTGAAATCAACACTTTTTTGGTTTTGTGCCATAGATACTCAGACACTAATCGTTCAGGTATCTTGGATAAAAGAAAAGAGAAATTGATATTCTTCTGTCTTTTTGTRATCAGTCATATGCTGCAATTGTTGCCTGTTACTTTAGGTACTTACTGTACATGTATGTATTCCCAGGCAGCATTAAACCTGAGGCAAACTGAAAATGTGTGTACAAAGCATGCCAGGCAGTTGCAGAAATATACTGATATTATTGCATATTCATGGTGTGTTCATTCCCTTTGAGCACAGTAACATTCTCAGAGGGAGGAAGAGGTACCAGTGAGGAGCCCTTTGTTAATATTTCCAGAGAAAGTAATGCAGCCTGTATTCTTGCTCTTGGAAGTACAGTGGGCTATGGACTAYATCAGCTGTGCCAGTGGGCTTTGTGTGTCCCTTAAGCCTCAAGCAGAGCTTTCATGTCTTGCCTCACTGTGCCGGCATGACTGAGAAAGGAGAACTTCTGAGCATGCTCCTCTGCCTAAGAAAGAGTAGAAGCAAAAAATGGCACTTGTGGATCATGTGYGCTGCACACAAGAGGTTAAGGTTGCATATGTTCTTTCTTGGGCTGAATATTTCTTCTGCAAGTCTGGGCAGCATGAAATGTATTTTGCAATTTGAAGTAGCAAAGAGCATTACATTACTTYTACAACAAAAGCAAATAAATGCAAACCTTTAAGAAAATACTTATTTTTATTTCCTAGGCTACTCGACATGCAGAAATGGTGGCAATCGACCAGGTCCTTGACTGGTGCAAGCAACACAACAGGGATTATAAGGAAGTGTTTCCACAGCTGGTGTTGTACGTAACTGTGGARCCCTGTATCATGTGTGCAGCTGCTGTGCGCTTGATGAGTATCCTTTCATGCTTACTCACACTGGGAAACTCTGTGTGGAACCATTACTCTTTTGGCAGTGAGCCCACAAAGAAGGGCGTGACAGTGTCAGGGAAAGCCACAAAGGGTGGTTTGGGGGCCTGGGCCCACCTCCATGGTGTATAGGGAGAGACTCAAGAATTAAAGAGATACAGTGCAGYTAGGACAAACGACTGCTTCTCTTAGAGATTAAAAATACATTTTAGAGATGTCTGTTAGTATGTAATATGAGCTAAGTGCAGTTCAGTGTTCAATTTTGAATGTTGTATTGATCAGTAAACCATGCCTTTGCATACCCGTGCTTTGAGATTCATGCTTCTCTTTTTCTGAGGAAGGCTGGATGTGCATCTTCAGCAATACATCTATAATTCAAAAGTAAGTTCTGATTTTATGAGGGAGGAATTGTAGCTCAGACTAATTTCATTTGAAAAGTACAAGGACATTTGAGGACATTTAATGACTGCCTAAATCAGACTTGTGTACTTCATGCTTGTTTTTCACTTAATACCTTGACTCACTCCCATAAATTCCACGGGTCGTATATGGCTGTCGAAATGAGCGATTTGGAGGCTGTGGCTCAGTTTTGAGCATCTCGTCTGATGATATGGTGGACTCAGGAGACCCATTTGAAGTAAGCTGTAAAATGTTTCCCKTTATTTTCCAGCTAGGGTTCTGTGCCAGGCTTTCTTACCAGGCTTTGAGAATGTTATGCATCACTGTAAGAGGATGCAGATGGAAGATGGTCAAAGTCAAGTAAACATGGCTTAATAAGAAAATRATGCAAAAAATAATAAGGTCCTTAAAGAAAAGAAAATTGAGGAAAAGTCTGAGAAAAAGTCAGTTGAGGAAAAGTCTGAAAATTGAGGAAAAAATTTAAGAGGATTGTCTTGGGGTGATTTTATGATAACACTATATTCCCCTATCATCTGCWTTATGCCCAGAAATGGGTCTTGAAGCTCGAAGGTGAGTCTGGGGGAGGGGTGGGAGCCAGAAGAGCAGGCTTTGTTCAAAGCCCACTCCCGTGTGCTCGGGATTGCAGTGCGGACAGTTATKCTTCTGCTTTTAGCTACCTTGGTTTTTGTTAGTCTAGGCAACAAGTTTCTTTCCCTGGACTCCAGTAGCCATTTTTTGGCAGCTTCTGTTGTTTCTTCTGGGACTGTTCAGCTTGCCTTTTGCTCCAAATCACACCATCAGCAGGCACTGGTTGGCTCGGACTGGTGGGAAGCCGTGGGGGCACCCCATCATGGCCCAGATCTCAGGAGAAGCTGGACCAATGAAAGAAAGGACTCTAAATCCACCARCTTYTCCTGCTACAAAGAGGAGACCARCATCAGAGAATTCACTAGGCTCCTGTCTGTTTTTTTCCTTTTCCCAAGTGGCTACCTGGGCTCTTCTTCCTCCCCTGAGACAAAGCCATCTGCCATTTTGTTTTCCCCAGGCAATTTGGGTTTGTT